ATTTTATTGTGGTTATTTATTTGTATATTCCAAAATATTGCTCTCTGTTTCATGGCAATGAAGATTCTCTTTACAAATAATTAATGATACTGGATTCAAAGATTTTCTTTCTTCTTCAATCTCACTTAATAATTTTTAAAAAAACGAGTGTAAATGATTTTCCGCTTAGACAGATAGCACTCTGCATTCTAATAATTCTTTTCTTTGAACGTAGTCAACTCACTGGCACTCATTACTGGTTATGCTTTTGCAGTAACGAAGAATCGACATTGGCTTTCATGACGTTCAACTGGTGTTCAGCGGTCGTCCGTTTGTTGATTCAGCGCGTATCAGCGAAGCGGAAATTCTTTCCCAATGGCTTTTTGGTATCGAGCATTAACCAAACGACTCGGCGTTGGGCCCACTCGACGGTGCCCATTAGTAAAGTGAGAAACATAGGCATCATCGCACATGTAGACGCAGGTATATTTTGAGACTTCTATGCATTCGTCATTTTTGATTGTTTGTTTCAAGTCTCGTATTTATAGTCCAAAGTAAATATAATGGGACAGAGTGATCAAAATGTACTTTATGGAGGTGAAGATGCTTTCTGTAAAACGGAAGATTTTCTTAGGTGCGGATCTAAACTATGGTATTTATTCAAAAAATTCATGGTTGTAGTGGACTTTTACACATGTTCAGGATGCCGGAGATTCTCAATACGAATTCCTTTTAAGAAATTTAATGACAGGCAGTTCATAAGGCGACCGAGGGTCATAAAGCTATAAATGTCTGACATCTGTCGTTTTCCTACCTTGAAATTTAGGGTGCTTCCCGATTGTAACATAACCTGAGAAACTTGAAAAAGTTCTTGAACCTTCTGTTCCTACGACACAAGAGAGATCACGAGCTCTAAGAATTAATGTGCAGCCAACTCCCTCATAACGGGCACCACACGGGCTAGTTGGTGCGTTGGTGTCATCAGTGCTGTATACCATAGTTTATAGTTCGATCAGACTCCTGTGATATTCGTCGCAGAGTCAGGTTCAGTTTGATCATGCTAGTTTGTTTTTTAAACGAAGTTGGTTATTTGCGATATACAGTTGGATCGATTCTGTTTCTCTTGTTGCTTGCAATCTTTTTTTGGCATATATCAGTATAAACAGTGAAAATTTTGTCTGTTTGTCTTAGAGGCCTTATTATAAATCCCATTGTGAATGTCCTTTTGACGATGTTCTAAAATTGCGATCAGCTTCATTTCCTTATCAAGCCTTCGATCAGGAAATTCTTTT